ACGTTTATCAGGGCATCAGCAACTACAATGCAGGCAGTATCGAGGATGTGGGCCAATAAACTGTGATGACCGTCTGAGTGTGACTGTACACGATTCCGAAGTGTTCTGTACGCCGGCGCCAATTCGATACAACGGTTAATTGAATTCCCGTCAGTGGACCTGGATTCAATTAATTCTCTGCTCGTCTTGCTTCCGGTGTGAGCGAGTACTTTGACGGCAGCTAAGTTTAACTTATGGCCTGTTTCATAGGTATGAGCTACAACTTGAAATAATTCGTCGCCTCGAAGTACAGCCAACTTGTGTTCATGTATGCGGGATCCCAGCACGCGTTCATTTTGACCTGTGTAGTTGCAAAGACAGCTTCGGCATGCGATGCGGAATGAACAGTGTCACTTTGACCGACTATAACCTTACTCTTAAACGTAGCCCTACCCTAAAGCTAAAACCTAGAGATAACACAAATCAAACTCTTGACCCCTAACATAATCCCGACCATAATTCCCAACTCTGACTATAGCCCCAACCCTAAACCTTAACCTAACCCTAAACTTAATTCTAAATCCAATTTCCCTGGAACTTGTTGCAAAGCCACATACACCGCGGGCGGTTCCTCCTTCTCTGTCCTGTTTAAGTGGTTCTACAAAACATCCTTACACGAGTGAGGGTGATTGTTGTTCTTTGTATTGTTTCAGTAGTATATATTGTATTTCCAAGCCACAGACAGCTTACCGACGGCAGGTTTTACTAGCAATTTCAAACTAGTTTATTCCGCTAAAGGTTGGACAGGGCTACCTCCTAAATAAGGCCATTTGCATCACCCCAGGCGACTTCTTAAAAGTACTATGGTGCCGACTGACAAAAGACTATTTGAGTTGGTCTGGGCTGTTTTTGGGTACTGTTTGTCATCCTCTGCATAGAACTGGCTTGTTTAGGAGCGGGAGGCGGAATTTGGGGGTGGTAAGGATGACTGCTATGGTCGCTTAAACAGAACGTGGGAAGAGAAACCGCCCAAAATAGGTGTGGTTTTGCGCCAAATTCCAGTGAGGGTTAGAGTTAGGGCGGGAATTATGGTGGGGGTTAAAGATTGGATTCGTATTAACTACACGGCTTGGATTTAGGGTACGACTAGATTCAAGAGTTGTATTACTGTTTATTTTTAGGTTACGGTTACTGAAGGGAAATATTTACCCTTCTGGACAGTGGTCACAGGGTCACCTGTTTTAAGTGGGCGACTAACGTGTCATCTTTGCACCTCCCGTACATTTTGGCACCCTTCGGCTCGACCACCTCAAGCGCGGGTAGGTGCAGCACCGGTGACTTGCATGTGAATTAGTCTATGGTGAAACAGACTCCCGAGGTATCGGCCAAGCACGTTGAGATACACACGGACCGGATACTGTCAACTTATTTTGACCATCGGTCAAAGGCGGTTAACGACGTTTGCCCAGCGTGTAGCATCAGATAAGAGCTGAGTGTGGCGATAGTGGTGAAGTAAAGGTATCCATCAGGTCAATCAGTGCGTTTGGTGTGGACCACCAGTTCGATCTTCGATTCCACCGACATTCACCGTGGCGCAAGGACGGAAAAGTACGCATGAATTAGTTTTAAGTGATGATACACTTGCACCGTATCTACCGCACTCTCTCTTCCCTTACCCGCCCGAGCCCGGTGTCAAGACAAATTCAATGACATCGCAGGAGGCCGGAACTGCCATGCCTGACTCCTATCCCACGGAGTGAGGGTGCCGTAAAGGTCAC